ATGTTTCAAATAAGATAAGTTATAATAGTATAATATTCAAGTTTTTTAATAATTTACAAATACTAGAATACTTCATAGATCTTCAAGCGGTTATTCATTTCTTTGTGGACAAAATATCTTGCCATTGCCATGTGTAACAATGTTAACGTCACTTGTTAGCAGTTAAGATTGGATGTGGTTTTGACAATAATTTCTTCAAACTATTAAAAAAAAAATTTGAGAATAAAACAGAGAATCAAAAAAAAGTTGTATTGGTGTTTGATGAAATATCTTTGAGAGAGAGTATATCAGTTAACACTAGAAACCTAACATACCACGGTTTGGAAGTTTATGGTGATGAGTTGAATACTAAAAATACAGAAAAAGCTAATCACGCATTACTTTTGATGATTCAAGGATTATCTGAGAAGTTTCATCAGCCAATCTCTGTCTTTACCTTTAAGGGACTAGTTAAAGGTACATTTAAGTGAACCGTGTTTTAACTATTAAATAGTACAATAAGTTACATTTTAATTGTTGAAATTGAATAGGTATTGATCTAACTAAAATTGTGCTGAAGGCGATTCTATTGTTGGAAAATTCTGGGGTTCAAGTGCTAGCTATAACAAGCGATGGCGCATCAACTAATCGTACAATGTCGCATACATTAGGGATTTATGCTCAATCAGATGAAATACGAAATTCATTTACCAACATTTACAGCAGAAGGGATAAAAAAAAATAGTCAAGATTTGGAGGTTTTATTAAATGTTATGTGTTGCTCGTTTCTATGTGATGTTTTGTGGTACTAAAATCTAAGGAAAGTATTTTATTTATTTGCTAATTAATAATTTGTAGTAGAGTAGGTAGTTGTAGTTTTTGTAAATTTACTATATTTTATTCAGTGAAATCAATTAGTTCGGTACATAAATATGTTTGTTGGTTAAAGGTATTGAAAAACGCACTGACAGTTTTACATACATGGGAATTAAATGTGGCCAATAAATTACTGTCCGAAGATGACTTTTTAACAAAACAAACCGCTGAAGGGTTAAAAATAACAATTAAGTCCACAATAGAATTGACAAATTATCTTCTTGACGAATGCAATTTTGCTTATGTGTTGACAAGTAAAACTAATCAAGACTGCTTAGAAGTAATAATTAAATACCTACTATTAATTATTATATATATAAAATTATTGATTTCCTAAAAATATGATTCATTAATTGTATGTGAATTTATTCTCTTTAGAAATTTTTTGGTACCATTAGACAAGTTGCTGGTTCCGATGACCACCCTACTACACCTACATTTTTACAACTATACAGAATGTTATCGGTATATTCAATAATCAAGCCCCCCAAATCAGGAAATTGTTGTATACTAGAAGGTAAACAATTCATTTTTTCACTAATTTAAGTACTTTTTCATATTTATTCTTCTAGAAAATATCCCAGTTATTACAATCACAGACCTAAAAACTATTTTAAATGATAAAAATGATGTAAATTTAAGGGAAATNTGGTGGATATTTAGCTAAGTTTATGTTCCTGAAAAGGTGTCGTATATTAAATATTGAACCTCTGACGGAATTTTTTAAACTTGCTGGTGAGCTCTATGATCCAAAAGCGATACAAGAAAATAATTTATTGGTAAGTGATGATGAAGCGTCTTCTGAAACGGATGAAAATGACGAAGATTTATAATGTAATATTGAAAAAATTAAAAAAAATTAAAAAACCTTTTTGATTTCAAATTTTTGAATTTTTAAACATCAAGTACGATATTTAAAATCTTTATGCATATTTCCATTCATCATAAACACATACAATTTAAAAAAAAAATCAAAATGTAGTTTTGTTGATGTTTTTATCGTAAATATCACGTATTTTTTAAAACATTACTATTTTATAGTTTTCTTGGTATAACTTCCAAAATAATGATTTGCGAAAATTTTGGAATTAGACTTTTGTATTCAGTGCTTTAAAACACATATTTTGGTGGAAAAAAAATCAAAAAAATCGCGTGGGAACTAAACTGCATTTGTTCCCAATGAGGATGAGACAGTATAGTTATACAAAAAATCAAGAAGCTAAAAAACTAAACAAAACCAAGAAAAACATTTCTAAATTAGTATCATCTTAAGATATAATATAAGCATTTGGTTTATAGTGTATATAGTAAGATATTAACTATTACAAATTTACAAATTATAAAATTATGTTTTTATACAAACTATATTTATACTTTGATTTACCCATTATTCCTTTTGGTAATCTGTTTTGGTTTAGAATAGAAAACCGTGGCCACGATTAAGATATACCTAGGTATATGCACCAAGAATGTACCTAGGTATGACCTAACCTAACCTACCATAGAAAAATAATTATGGACAAAACGCATTTACGAAAAATCATTTTTCAACGTTTTTTTCAGTAATCTTAGAGACTAGACTAAAATCACCCATTACAAAAAAGATATAGAATAATATTTTTGATGTCGATTTTATATTTTATTGCTCCTCAACTTTCAATAAAACAAAAAAAATTGTCGTACTTACATTTAAATTGTTTTGAGACAATATTTAGACATATTGATACGTAATTCCCTCAAAAATTTTATTCTCTATATTTTTTGTAATGGGTGATTTTACTCTAAAAAAATTACTTAAAAAACATAGAAAAAACAATTCTGCGTAAATGCGTTTTGTCTATGTTGCTTTTGGACCAAAGAGAGAAAACAAATAGGCACAAGGTTCTTACGTACGTATTAGGGGATAATATAACACGGCGGCAGTAGATGGCGCTGCTGTTATCGAATAAGATTAGATCTAAATAATAATACCGGCCAACGCCGTTAGCAGCGTTAGGTTAGATTAAACCTCACGAAACCCAACTAAACCTCACGAAACCCAACTAAACCTCACGAAACCCATCTAAACCTCACGAAACATCTCATCATTCAGGAAACTGAAGAGCGAGCTGTGACGGCCAGTTTCTTACGTACGTATTATGGATTAGTATAATACGGCGGCAGTAGATGGCGCTGCTTACGTACGTATTAGGAGTTAGTATAATACGACGGCAGTAGATGGCGCTGATGTTATCGAATAAGATTAGATCTAAATAATAATACCGGCCAACGCCGTTAGCAGCGTTAGGTTAGATTAAACCTCACGAAACCCAACTAAACCTCACGAAACCCAACTAAACCTCACGAAACCCATCTAAACCTCACGAAACATCTCATCATTCAGGAAACTGAAGAGCGAGCTGTGACGGCCAGTTTCTTACGTACGTATTATGGATTAGTATAATACGGCGGCAGTAGATGGCGCTGCTTACGTACGTATTAGGAGTTAGTATAATACGACGGCAGTAGATGGCGCTGATGTTATCGAATAAGATTAGATCTAAATAATAATACCGGCCAACGCCGTTAGCAGCGTTAGGTTAGATTAAACCTCACGAAACCCAACTAAACCTCACGAAACCCAACTAAACCTCACGAAACCCATCTAAACCTCACGAAACATCTCATCATTCAGGAAACTGAAGAGCGAGCTGTGACGGCCAGTTTCTTACGTACGTATTATGGATTAGTATAATACGGCGGCAGTAGATGGCGCTGCTTACGTACGTATTAGGAGTTAGTATAATACGACGGCAGTAGATGGCGCTGATGTTATCGAATAAGATTAGATCTAAATAATAATACCGGCCAACGCCGTTAGCAGCGTTAGGTTAGATTAAACCTCACGAAACCCAACTAAACCTCACGAAACCCAACTAAACCTCACGAAACCCATCTAAACCTCACGAAACATCTCATCATTCAGGAAACTGAAGAGCGAGCTGTGACGGCCAGTTTCTTACGTACGTATTATGGATTAGTATAATACGGCGGCAGTAGATGGCGCTGCTTACGTACGTATTAGGAGTTAGTATAATACGACGGCAGTAGATGGCGCTGATGTTATCGAATAAGATTAGATCTAAATAATAATACCGGCCAACGCCGTTAGCAGCGTTAGGTTAGATTAAACCTCACGAAACCCAACTAAACCTCACGAAACCCAACTAAACCTCACGAAACCCATCTAAACCTCACGAAACATCTCATCTTTCAGGAAACTGAAGAGCGAGCTGTGACGGCCAGTTTCTTACGTACGTATTAGGGGTTAGTATAATACGGCGGCAGTAGATGGCGCTGCTTACGTACGTATTAGGAGTTAGTATAATACGACGGCAGTAGATGGCGCTGATGTTATCGAATAAGATTAGATCTAAATAATAATACCGGCCAACGCCGTTAGCAGCGTTAGGTTAGATTAAACCTCACGAAACCCAACTAAACCTCACGAAACCCAACTAAACCTCACGAAACCCATCTAAACCTCACGAAACATCTCATCTTTCAGGAAACTGAAGAGCGAGCTGTGACGGCCAGTTTCTTACGTACGTATTAGGGGTTAGTATAATACGGCGGCAGTAGATGGCGCTGCTTACGTACGTATTAGGAGTTAGTATAATACGACGGCAGTAGATGGCGCTGATGTTATCGAATAAGATTAGATCTAAATAATAATACCGGCCAACGCCGTTAGCAGCGTTAGGTTAGATTAAACCTCACGAAACCTATCTAAACCTCACTTAACAACTCATCTTTCAGGAAACTGAAGAGCCGTGAGTCGTGATGGCCAGTTTCTAACGTACGTATTAGGGGTCAGTTTAATACGGCGGCAGTAGACGGCGCTGCTGTTATCGAAATTATTTAGATCTAAATAATACCGGCCAAGGAATAAAATACAATTTCTCGGAATTCGATAGCCATTTTCCTTCTTCCTGACAAACTATAAAACTATTGTGATAACTCTTATGATATCCAACTTCACAGTTCTCAATAGTGGTCCCTATTACACGTGTATTTGATTACACGTGAAAAACGTGTAATTAACATACACGTGTATATGCACGTGTAATTATAAATACACGAGTATTTAGTTAAAAATACGTATTTTAACACGTGTTTTAAAAAAATATAACTTATGTCTGAGGTCATGTCAGTTTTGGACTGAGATCTCACGGACGAAGAGCAGGCGTATTAATTGTCGCCATGTAAAATCCTCTCCTAAGACATTTGTGATTTGTGTAATAGTATCTACGATCGGACAATTACTGTCGCACTATCAGGTTGTAGCGTGTGCCCAGAATAGAATAATTCCATACTCTGACCCATATACACCGCTGTAGATAACTAGTTCGCGTATTTATCGGAGATACTACGCACATTAATATACGATAGCAATTTGATTATTCCGGATTTTTACGCACAATCGGCGACATATAATCAGTTCGGTAAAACTGCTTGCTGCGTACTGTACATTTAGTTTCCGTATTATACATTTATTATTTACGCGTTAATAATGCCAAAACGAGGAAGAAGCTGGGTTTGGCAGTACGCGAGGCGTATTGAGGACAAGGCATATTGTAATTTATGCGACCAAGATGAATGCAATGAATTTGCTTGTCCTGGTGGTACGACAGGTTCATTGGGAAGGCATTTATCAGGAATGCACGGATTAAATTCAGAAAGTCATCATGATATGTAAGTTATTTTTAATCGTTTATTGTTATTGAAAAGTATAAGTACGGGCTGGATATATAAGTATACTTATTATGTGTAATAAGCGGCGAATTTAATTTAAATTAAAAATTTTATTTTTCAAAAAAATCGATATGTCATATAATATCAACATATTAATGTTTGAATAACAGGTCAGAAATACACGACGAACAAGCTCTAGATACTGAAAATGCTGAAACATTACGTTAATTGATGCGCCATGAGATACCTAACCTAACCTAAGGTTCTAATACCTTCATAAGAATATACAACTGTAAAATGCATTTAATCATTGTAGAAAATTAGTAAAATATATAATATAAATTAGAGTGGATTGCATCTATATAGTTGTTTATTCTACTTCTACATCCCATTAGATTGACAATATAATTCAAGGGGAATCTCTTCTTGTTCATTTGGTGCAGCATATGTTGGCTTACATGACGGTGTTGCTATTGTATCGAGTATCAACAATTAGTATTCTTACCATTAAGAGTACATTTAATATCTCTACTATCTGATCTTAGAGGTGGACACATTTCTATAAACAAAAATAAATTATTATCAATAATAATGACACATTCAACTTTTAATGTATAAACTAATGAGTAATTATTACGACGTCCAAACTACACAACAAAATTTACTGAAACACAATTTCTCGAAATTCTATAACCATTTTCCTTTTCCCAAACAAACCCTATAACCATTGGAATAAGCCTTATGGTATCCAACTTCACAATCTTCAGTAATATGTAGATGTTGTTTAATTAATGCCCAGTGAGATAAAACTTCATCAGAACCTTCATAAAAATATACGACTCCTTCAGCAGTAGGTAAGATGTACAAATTCATTGTGGCCTGTTAAAATCTTAAATGTTAAAAACTTAAAAATAAATACTTTATCTGAAATATCTTAGTTATAAAGCAGAATTAAAATGTCATTAAAAAAACCAAGCTAATACAGATAATTAAACACTAAAATTGATACCTATAAAGAAATAGGTTTGCGTACTAGTTTGTTTAAAAGTCCACAAATCAGTTGAACATGGTATTTAATGTCTGTAAAAACTGCCACCGAATCGATTGTATTTTTAACGTTGTCAACAAAGTTCTCTTCAAGTACTCCGGTTAAGTAGTAAGAATTAGAATGTACAAATGTCAATCCTGCTCCACTATCATCTCTTTCATCAAAACTTTTACCTGAAAATAGTTATATTTTATACATAAGACACAAATAAAACATATTCCGATTGGACGATAAGGAATTCATATTCGGAAATCTGTGAGGAAGGTTAACATTTTTCATATTTGTATTTAAAGTATAAATTAACAATCTATTTTCTGTAGCTGTACTGTTGGCTGACTCATTTTATTATTACTGACCAAACCTCATGAGGTATTTTATATTATTGATAAAACTATACATTTTATATCGGTTACAACTGCTATAAAAAATGTTTGATCTAAAGCTTTTTAATAATTCAGAAAAATAAATTTTAACCATGATCGTTGATTACTTTTTTTTTATTATAAATTAATATTACATATATTTACCAACAAAAAAATCTTTAATAATCACAATTACATTAATATTTAATACTCAAACACCTTCTGCTACATGGTACTCATTAATATTATATGAATATTATTAATAATGTTAATATTAAAAAGGAATTTGTTTGCCCATGTATTTATACTTAACTCAATTTGAAATTAGGAGTTTGTTGTAAAATTGACATTTTTCTTAATTTTTGATTTTGAGCGGTGCAATTTATGTAATGATTTTATAATGAAGTGTGTTTTTAATTTAAATTAAATTTTTTATGTGTGTTTAAAATTACCTATAGTCAACTACCTACTTGTAGTCAAAATATTTCTTTGGTTTTCAACTTCAGCATCTTTCCTAGTGGAAAAGTGACTCTGGTTGGTGCTATCGAAAGGTCAAATTTAATATTCTATGTAGCTCCAGGGAAAACCAAAAATTAAATTAAACGTAAACATTAATTTTTAAGCCAAAACAGGTTTTAAAAAAATTCCTTTTTTTATTATATCCAACTTAAAAAAACCTACCCTAGATCCATAATATACATATTATACACAGTATATATATTGTATTTTTATATGAGTAGTAAAATGTGATCCATTATACTTAACAAAAATTAAGTTACTCTTCAAATTTAAAAATGCCTGTCTTAATATTAAGTGTTAAGTAATTTTAAGATAAGTTTATTAAAAATAAATAAATGATTTCATATAATTAATGATTAAATATTTTATTACCCAATGACGAACCAGCACAAAACTTATC